AGGTTACTGCCTTGAGGAAAGTTGTTCAGGTCACTAAGTCCTTTCGGATGATCGTCATATTATTTCAGAACCCTCACACTACGCAGCGCTAGTGTACATATGAATTTCCTTAATATGTTATGTCTCCAAAGCTTGTCCATATAAGATGTTGCTGTGCAATGTGAAAACAGGAACCGGGAAAGGGATGACGTGTAGAGGCCGGAAATCGATGTCAGATGCCATTTTGGAATCCAAGATGGCGGCCATCGGTTCAAGAAAAACTGTCAAATACCGTACAATATGGATATTTTTGGAAAGGGAACGACGTGTAGAGGCCAGAAATCGATGCCAGACGCCATTTTGGAATCCAAGATGGTGACCATCGGGTCAAGAAAAACTGTCAAATACCCTACAATATGGGTTTTTTTCAGATAGGAGATGACATGTAGAGACCGGGAATCGATTTCAGATGCCATTTTGTAATCCAAGATGGCGGCCATCGGGTCAAGAAAAATTGTCAAATACTCTACAATATGAGTATTTCCGGAAAGAAAACGACGTGTAGAGGCCGAAAATCGATGCCAGATGCCATTTTGAAATTCAAGATGACGGCCATTGGTTCAATAAAAACTGTCAAATACCCTACAATATGGGTATTTCCGGACGTGTAGAGGCCGGAAACCGATGCCAGACGCCATTTTAAAAACCAAGATGGCGGCCATCGGTTTTAAGAAAAACTGTCAAATATCCTACAATGTAGGAATTTCCGAAAAGGGACGACGTGTAAAGGTCAGATATACATTCCAGCCGCTATTTCGGAATCCAATATGGCGGCAACATGTTTTCCATAAATAAGGCTTACCAAGCATATTGCGTATAATTTATTGTGTATAGCGTATCATTGAGCAAGATCGCAACGTAACGTGGAAAATTCCTCAAAACAATAAAATGCTTTGATTTGTTTTGTTTTTTCTATCGTAAGCTACAGATTTATTCCACATTTTATTTTCTCTTTCGATAACAAAGAACCAACCAGCGCTGTCATGTTTTATGCAATCTAGTCACTCTCGTTCTTCCACACCGTGAGATGGGTCTCGACTTCCCTTAGCAAATCTTGCATTTTTGCACTCCGTTCAACATTGCTGTCCAATGTGCAGAAACTTTCGACCTCGGAGAGTTGATTTAGTTTTAACTCGATTTCTGCCGCACCAGGTGGTGGATGAAAATATCAACCATATTCACTGTAGAGGGGTCCAGGAATAAATCTGTAGTTTACGATAGAAAAAAAATAAAACAAAACAATTAAAAGCGTTTTATTGTTTTGAGGAATTTTCCACGTTATGTTGCGATCTTGCTCAGTGATACGCTATACACAATAAATTATACGCAATATTCTTGGTAAGCCTTATATATGGAAAACATGTTTTTTTTAACTAGTTCGTTTATTTGAAAGGCTCAATCACGTTAGCTTTACGAAGCCGATAGTTCATTGTTCTTTGTTTGTAACAACATTCACTTAATTCTATGTCTAGTAGGAGTTGGGCCGAATACTCGCGGCTTACTCGAGGTAAGAGAGGTACATTGTCGAAGGATAGGATCAGGGGAGGAGCTTGGGGGCAAGGTTTCGTTGTCTCATCAGAGCGTTGTCACCAGTATGAACGGTAGTGCGCTTCTAGTTTCGTTTGGAGTTCGATTGGCTATGGTGACAATGGAAAACATGTTGCTGCCATATTGGATTCCAAAATAGCGTCTGGAATCTACATCTGGCCTCTATACGTCGTCCATTTTCGGAAATTCCCACATTGTAGTGTATTTGACAGTTTTTCTTAAACTGATGGCCGCCATCTTGGATTCCAAAATGGCATCTTGCATCGATTTCCGGCCTCTACACGTCGTTTTCTTTCCGGAAATACTCATATTGTAGAGTATTTGACAGTTTTTCTTGACCCGATGGCCAGCATCTTGGATCCCAAAATGTCGTCTGGCATCTATTTCCGGCCTCTACACGTCGTCTCCTTCCAAAAATATCCATATTGTAGGGTATTTGACAGTTTTTCTTGAACCTGTGGTTGCCATCTTGGATTCCAAAATGGCGTCTAGCATCTATTTCTGGCCTCTACACGTCGTTCCCTCTCTGGAAATAGCCGTATTATAGGGTATTTGACAGTTTTTCTTTACCCTATGGATCTTGGATTCCAAAATGACTTCTGGCATCGATTTCCGGCCTCTACACGTCGTCCCCTTTCCAAAAATATCCATATTGTAGGGTATTTGACAGTTTTTCTTGAACCGATGGCCGCCATCTTGGATTCCAAAATGGCATCTGACATCGATTTCCGGCCTCTACATCTCATCCCTTTTCCGGTTCCTGTTCTCACATTGCACAGCAACATCTTATATGGACAAGCTTTGGAGACATAACATATTAAGGAAATTCATATGTACACTAGCGCTGCGTAGTGTGAGAGTTCTGAAATAATATGACGATCATCCGAAAGGACTTAGTCATCTGAACAACTTTGCTGAAGACAGTCACCTTCTATATGGCCAGGTTCTCGAGATACAAATTCACTTGCACACTAGCGCCGCGTAGTGAGCGTGTTCTGAACTAATATGAACATCATCCGAAAGGACTTGATCACCTGCACAACTTTGCTGGAAACAGCAACTTTCTATATGGCCAGGCTCTCGTGATACAGTTTATATAGGAATTGCACATGCACACTAGCGCTGCGTAGTGAGAGAGTTCTGAACTAATATGGCCACCATCCAAAAGGACTTGGTCACCTGAACAACTTTGCTCAAGACAGTAACTTTCTATATGGTCAGAATCACGAAATATTCTATGTTGGAAATATGATCCATATATTATAGCGCCCGTCATAAGTAACATAAAAGTGAAGCGCCTCTAGCGGCGTAGTTCTCAATTTAACCCGAATCCAATGGCACAGGCTTGTTGGTCTAACCCAGTACAGCAACTTTGTCGAAGACAGTATAGCTTTATGTATTGAAACAAATGAGATAATCCACTACAGCCCCCATTAGAGAAAATCCCATAAGCTGTGGGTATCCTTATTCGAGGATAGCCCGGCAATAAGGATCCGGCAATAAGAGATACCGGCAATAAGGAATCCGGCAATAAGGATTCCTGACTGTATTATATTAAAAACACATTTAGTACATTGACTACACTAATGACATTTAATTGTATATGAATAAAAACTCTTCATCCCCGATGGGATACAACCATTCTATGCGGCGACCGAAAACAACTGTCTCTCGTCTCCTGATCTGGTCATCGTTTGACCCGTGACCGAGTAGACCAAATCTCCCTCTCACGTTCTCCGTCCGATCGGTCCAACTTCGCTTCGAACAGTTCTGTGCTCTTCGTTGGTCATCTCAGCAGCTGCTCGATGTCCGCCGACCGTTAATACTTAGCTGACGATGATCGCTATCCCTTACGTGTTACGTACAGGACAATAGACACATCTCGACTCGTAGCCTATTCACTCGTGTTTTGTTGAAGATCAGCTGTAGCAGCGATGGTGATATTCCAGGGTTGTAGTATTCTGGGGGTCTTACTCTCGTACAGTTATGGAAAACCTGTAAAACTCATGGAACTTTATTTATCCAAATGAGTGGACACCCTGTAGATAGAAAAGAATGATTAAACGTATAAAAAAAAACTCTATAACAGTTCAAGGATACAATACAAGGATACAATAAACATAATATAAAACGGCATCACTGTCGAGAGTTGACGTTTTGCCAATCGATGCTAAGGTTGACTTCTTTGTTTACTCCATTGGGCTTCACATTGGGATCGGATTCCAAGGAAAAATGCTGTGCGTATTGCCTGCACCTGTCTGCACCATGAAACTAAGTTTATCTCATCCGATTCGTAGCAAAAATCCCGGCGGCTCGTGGTTTCGTCCAGAATAGCTTCACGCCAACACGCGTTCTTCTACACCATGGTCGGTTAAGAGGGTCGATACGGCAGTCAAGATGGTCAAAATGGGCTCTCTCCTGCAACGGTTGGTCAAATGCCTGTAAGATCGTCCAATACGACGGTACGGTGCATCGACGAACTGAAAAGAATGGGGCCAAGGATGCTTCCTTGTGGAACCCTGGCACCGATGTTGAAAGCAACCGATGTGATGCCATTCAGAGGGACTCGGAACGTCCTGTCTGATAGATAGTTGTTCATTATCTTCACTAGGAAGATTGGAAGATCATACTGCTGCAATTTAAACACCAGGCCATCATGCTAGACATTGTCGAACGCTTTTTCAACGTCCAACAACGCCATGGCAGATGTTTTCGAAACAGACTTGTTCCGTCTGAGAATATTCTTCACTCGAGTCAGCTGGCGGACGATCGAACGACCTTTGCGAAAACCAAACTGTTCCTCGAGTAACAAGTTGTTTTCTTCGGCAGATGTTAGGAGCCGGTGAAAGACTTTCGAATAGTTTTGATAACCCTGAGAGAAGGCTGACTGGTCGATAACTTGAAGGAGAGGACGGATCCTTCCCAGGTTTCCAGAAGCACGAGGAGAAGTAGCCAAGTCGGAGGCACAGATTAAAAATCAGTGCCAGATGGTTGTAGAATCTGGAACTCAAGTGTTTGAGTTCCAGTTTCAGGATGCTGTCGAAATCTGGGGCCTTCATGTTTTTAGATGACTTGATATAGGCCAACAGTTCGTCAGCCGTAATTTCGGAAGCCTCGGGGAAAATGTTGGGAATCTAATGAAGATTGGTTGCATTTCCAGCATCTTCAGCTTCGTGAGGGCTGACGATGTGTTGTCCAAGATTATGGGAGCTAACGAAGTGTTGACCTATCGCGGCAGCCTTCTATTCCTCTATTCAGGAGTTATTAGATGAACCACTGGGTCGCCGGGACGATCCAGTGGGGTCAGTGGTGGAATGGGTCATGGCTTACTTTTAAGGATATTCGTTAGTTTCCAGAACGGCTTTGCACAACCTGCGTCGGGAAGCTTGAAATCGGTTGACGGATGAGCTCACATCGGCTACCACCGGATAGTGGTCCGAACTCAGCTCCTGGTAGGTCACAGGTTGCGAGATGTTGTCTCCCATGTTGCTGAAGAAGATGTCGATGATGGAGTGTACGCCAGACCGGCTCAAGCGGGTGGGAGAGTCGTCAGGATTGTACCGTTTTGGTTACGTCGACTGTTGCCCCAAGCCTGGTGTTTGGCGTTCAGGTCGCCAGCGATGATGTACTTTTCGTGTCGTAGAGTTAGTTTGATGATGTCCCTCCGTAAGTCTGCTGCCGACTCGTCTCTGATGTTGACAGGCTTGGGGCAGTAGGCCGCAATGATGGTGGTAGGGCCGACAGGAGTGGAGACTTTTACCCCTAAAGCTTCGATGGTTTTCAGCTAGAAGCTCGGCAGAAGCCGACAGTGGACTTGCAGCAATGGCCACTCCTCCTCCCCCGGTTCGATCAAGTCTTAGAAGCCGGAAGTCAGGAAGGTAGACGGTTACCTCCCCAATTCTGGCTTTATGAGGGTTCTGTATACCATGATTTAGACTTGTAGAATGCTATAAAATCTTGATAAACCCTGCAATGTTACTTGAGTCTGGTTTCAGGTGGGTTTCAGTGATGACGGCAATGTCGATGTTTCGTTCGTTGAGGAAGTCAACGAACTCGATGTTCTTGTTCTTGAACGAGCAAGCGTTCCAGTTGGCGATCTTGATGGCGTCACGGTCCATAATTGTCAATGAAACGTGATGCAGCAAGAATCTGCTCGGTTCTGGTTCTGCAGGAGCGCTTGATGACGATTGCTTCTGCCATGATGGCTATGAGTTCCTCTGTTGTGGGCAGCTTTTCGTTTTCGTTCCATGGTGGGGCATCATCTCGACGCCACGATAGTCCCGGCAGAGAGGACGAAACCGTTTCTGCATAGGACTGATGGTTTGCATAAGCCGAAGGGATTGGCATCTCAGCAGATGGCGGGACCGATGCAGCAGCAGCAGCAACAGCCAAACGATTGTTGAGCGGAAGTGGCGGAAGAACCGGAATTGGACGCCGTTGGCTAATTGCGTGGCGGAACCTTTTTCCGACCCGGGTGGTTCTACGTGGAGGCTCTTTTGCGGATTTCCATGAATTCCGCACACTTCGGACAAGACTTGCTGGTAGCTCGATGTGTGAATCGGCGTTCTCCATCCTGTCGCATGCTTCAGGTGCGTGCTGTTTGCCACATTCGTTGCAGCGATGAGCCATGTGGCAATTGTTGGTCCCGTGCCCAAACATGAGGCAGTTTGAGCATTGGATGACGTTACGGGGCAAGGTTGGTAGCGTTCCCACTTAACCACGATGTGAAAAAGCGCCCGAATACACTGCAGGTCCTTCAAATACGTTATGTTTCGTTCGAGGTGGACCAAATACAACTGGTCACGGTGTGTACGGGAGGCGTAATATTTGGCACTGAGCAGTGCTGTTTAAATTTGTTGGAGTTTTAGGTGACAGTAACAAGTAATTTGACGGACGAGCACGAGGTCATCGTGTGTTTATAATCATAACTTTTCTCTCAGCCTGTTTTGTATAGAAAATAGTGAAATGAAGGTCGAAAAGTGATGAGTAAAAAGCACAGGGAAAACAATCATGTCATATGAACTCAAATTGGAAATTTAACTGGAAACCAATTTGACTGTGTTGACTAGCACTTTGCTTAAAGTCCCTCACAAATACAAAACAACATCCGTGTTGACTCTAGAATGACTTAAGGGATCCGTTATGAATTCATATTAGTCCACCCAGCGCAATTGAATGCATCATGAGCCACGCAAACGAGGGAGTACAATTTTCCGCATTTTAAACATGTATGTCACGCACTGATTGCGGGCTCTCGTAGTAAGTGGCTGCTGTAAGGAGGTGAGCATTCGTTCGCAAAGGCGGTTTTCCCCGTTGCTCGAATTAGTAAGTGCACTACCGCCTTTCCATTCGTTTGAAATCTCGTTGAAGTTCATGCGTAATTCCTTGCAACTCTGAATAACAACACTAAGAACCGGAATTCAAGAGAGTTTCTCAATGGATGCTTGGGTGATGGAACGCTTGCCTGAGTTCACTATGAGCTAACTACTAAGAGACGCTGAATTATGGTGAAATATCGCACAGGATGGAACCCACCTTTAACTGTGTACCAATGATAAGAGATTTTTTGTTTGTGAAACCTAACTTACCACCAAGCCTCAGATTGACTTATGATTTGTATGAAGAGGCGTTCCCGATGAAAACAAAAAAAAAAACTCATTTCTAGTCTAAATGTGAGATTCCTGATTTTAATGTTCTAATGTTATTCTTACAAACACACTGTGTACTGTTGCCATCGACGTCACCCCGGTCCCATTAAAATTTTGCCAATCAAATTTCAAAATATCAAATACCTATCCTTCACCGAATTCTTCGAAACAATAACCATTTCGGCGTTTATATCGTCGTAAGAAAAAATCCAATTCCTGTCACGTCTCATTTCACTTCTCACCGTTCAAAGCTGCCAATGACCTGCCGCATCGAAGTTGAAATTGACAGCGGGTTGGATCTGAGATTTTTATTTTCCCAAAATGAGCAATAACACTCTGGTTTCAGGCGGATGTGTGGGTGTGTGTGTTTGCGTGTTTTTCGGATCGAGTGAAGTGATTGAAGTCGTCCAATGCCGCCGTCGTCATCATCGAGAGTCATTTCCACCGCAAGCTTATCTCGGACCCGTGAAGCGAAAAAAAAAATCCAAACATAAAGTTTTACGACAACAGCGATGCCTATGTGAGCCAAGAGCAAGTGTCACCCTTATCATTATTGTTCTGGCTCCCCGGGGAGTGTTAAAACTGTTGGTACTTGGTGGCACGTTTTTCAAATGGAGTAGCAGCCGTTGATTGGTTGGGGCGCGTCTAGACGATTTATGTAATCGACCCAGGGGGGCAAGAGGATATGATTGCTTTTTTAAAACTTGAGCCTCCTGGTGACATTCGTCACATTTAATTGGCTGCTGTTTCATTTTTACTGATGCTGTTTGAAATGGATGCCTCTTCAACATTTATCAATTTATGGCACAAATTACAACGTATGGTTCACGTGAAAAATTCTTTCCTTCTCCGGAAATTCTTCTGGTTCACTTTCTTCATGCACATCTTCTTTTCATTCATTTCCGCTCAGCAACATTTTCCTTTAATCTTTTTTTTTTCTGTTTTCTCTCTATCATCTTCTCGTTATCCTTTTCATCTTCTTACGTCTTCTTCACCGCATTTCATCTGGTTCGTCTTCTTCTGTTTCTTCTTCGTCATCTTCTCACTTCCTTTCTTTTTACTTTAGATTCTTCGATACACATTGATTTCCTGCAGAAACTTCAACAACTGCTTTTCCTTGTCATCGTCGTTGCATAACGGCGCTGGTGGAATCAAGACTCTGGCTGTTTCAAACTTTCTGCAGTGCATGATCACGTGACGGACATCCACGACAATTCAACAGCTTTCGCAAACCGGCGGCGTTCTTCCCATAGCAGATGGCATCCTTCTTCGGGATGGCAGCGTTAAGTGGCGGACAGTTGCGTGCTTCGCCGGTGAATCGATCTGCTTCTTCGTTGCCACAAATGCCGGTTTCATAACAGCCCTTCAATCTCTTGGATCCAGGCATGCAGTGATTTGATGCTTTCTATTACTAAAAAGCAACTTTCAGAATCGGACAGGATGATCAATTCGTTCGATATACCCATGTTGAGGGCCGATTTGATAGCAAACCCAAGTAACCAAAAGTTCTGATAAAAGGCTATTTGTGGTTTAAGCAGCTTGGTTGATGATGGTCTTTAGAATTCTAAGCAGCCTCATTTTTAAGTCGTTATAAGAACTTGAAAGTTCCTGTATCATAATTGAAGAGCATTCTAAGCAGCTTCTGGCGGAACTGGAATGGAACTTTTAGAAAATAAATTTAAAAAGGTTTTTGTCCTCTACACCAATTCTATGTTTAAGTTCGCACTTTTATGAAAGTTATTTCTGAAGGCAGGTTTTAATGTGTATTGATTTATCAACATTAGTAGTAGAATTGGAGCTGTTTGAAGAATTAAACCCAGTCCTTCTGCGTGAGAGCCCCAGCACGAACCGCTGCGTCATCTGAGATATATTAAAGTGAGCTGTTGTCCCGCCTACTGTTGGAGTTTTAAGTGCCAGCTGATTGACTTGAATACGAAACACAACACCTTGATGAATTTTATGTTGGTGTTTGCCCGCATGGTATTCAACACATTTGTGGCGCAGTGGTTAGCGTTCGTAGATTGCATGCCGGAATACACTGGTTAGAATCCAGGAAATTACTTTTTAATTATTTTTTTTTATGTTTGGATAGAATGTTGATACACTGCATAAAAATAAAAAATTATGATTTATTCGGGCCACTGATTATTTAATATTTACGTACATTAAATTTTGTTACTAATAAAAACTTGTGCGGATTGCTTCATGTGGCTTGAAAGTTCTGTCAGAACTTTATTTGAACTTTATGTAACTTGAAGGTTCTGTCGGAACTTTATTTGAACTTTACGGAACTTGGAAGTGATTTTAATCTTTGAATGTGGAACTTTTGATTACTTGGGAAGGCCTCCGCCGAAAAAACGCTTAACTGTGTGACGGAAGGCCTATTGCTCTAAGCAGACTGCCACAAAATACCCCTGCACCTATTGCGTTGTCACACTGTGTACCGTCAGTGTAGACTGGGATTGTAATGTTTGTGTAACGAAAAACTGATTTCCATTCACCCCAAACCTAAATTTAATGAATTTAGCATTAGCATAGTCGCTCCTAATGTTGTGTAAAATAGGACTGAGAATTTAAATTTGATATGTTATCTCTTTCATTTCTACGCATTATGACAGTTAGGTTGACCACAGGGCTACTTTAATTCATTTCGCATAAATAGATGTTTTATGGAATAATGGAATCATGAGAAATTATGATTATGATGATATTTTGTATTTGTTAGTAGCAAGAAGAGTTTGTGAAGTTTGTGTTTCACTCAGAAATTTTCCGCAAGCAGCGATCCGAGCATCGCTGATTGTTACTCTTCGAAAGCAAAATTGGCTGGTTTTATGTGAGCAACACATTCCTTATAATCTCTTGTTGTAACCTACCAATACAAAATATCATTTCAGGACTGCTAAATCAATTTTTCTGACAAATAAACAAATCTCTCGAAAAACACGAGTAAATGAAAATTGAAACATGTTACTTTTCTTATTAAATTTCAATTTTCAAAATATACCGTAATGACTCGAAATCCAGATACTCAGCCCATAAATTCGAATAATTTTAAAAGTTACCATGCTTCCTATGCTGAAAAAAGCACATTAACGTGTTTTAGCATCGATCTGGATCACACTTATAAAAAAATCGTCAATTTTTTTCACGACACATCATCAATTGAATTTTTTTTTACGGATAGTGGTAGAACAAAGTCTGGCGGTACTTTTGCAAGAAGTGTACTTGCTAGTGAGCACTCATCAGAATCAAAATTATTAACGGTGAAGCTGGAATTCCTAGTGGATAAAAAGTGATGATGGAGTCCTATTCATTCCGGATGTTGCTGATTAGCGGATCCTCCAGTTCATAACAACTAAGGGGGTTATAAGGAAAGGGGTCTAAGTGATTTTGATAGATTCTCTTCATCGATTTTCCCTTTCGTTCATAATTTAGCTGCAAATAAATTCCTTGATTATTATCTTCTGGACGCTAGATGAGAACCTCCTTTATCAAACTATGTGGCAGAAATAGCGTAAAATCTGTTTATAAAGCTGTGGCTATCAAAAGAGAAAGTCTTTGAAGAGAATCGATCAAAGTCACTTACAACCCTTTCCTTCGAATCACCTCAATTGGAACCGACACTGAAAAAAGTTTTCACTTAGTTTCTATTAGGAACGCACATAGTATTTTTCCAAAAACAAAAACAATGATTGTTATCTGAATATCACATAGCATTAGAAATTCTATATGAGAAATCATACAGATTTCATTGGACACATAACGTTCATGTAATTTAGTGGTGCAATTTCCAATTATGGGATCACATGAAAGTTATGTGAAATTCACATGGATATTTTCCACTGGTTATGTGATTTATCTTATGAGTGTAGTTTATCAATAATTTTTGCAGAAAAGTGAGTATGTGTCAGTCAGCTTTTCATTGAAAATGCTTGCTTTGTTGTAAATGAAATAGTTTTTCGTCACTACTATTTCCGAAAGGTTTTACAGTGGATCTCAAATTATAATACTTTGTATCTTTCGTATGCTCTTTTTTAGGATCATTCTTACTTTTTCGAAGATTTCCTTTTGTTCATCACTTAATTTCTTTCGCTGTACCATCAGTTAAAACTGTATTTTGAGCTTTATCTCTATACATTCTTAGGTGTTTCTTAGAAGATTATCATGTTGGTGTACGCTGATTCAAAAAGGAAATAGTATTAACATTGAGCTGTCCATAATTGAGCGTTGTTGAACATGTGGTACTTGCACAACATTTCATGTGAGTACCAAAGTAACCATATAATCACAACATAACTTTTAATGTAAGTTCAGAGTGAGAAAATGTAACTAAGATATGGTTAGCTGGGTATTCAGATGACTACCCAGGTAACAATTTGATGCTTAACAAGTGTTGATTAATCGATTTCAATTCAGCCTTAGATTGAATAAATGCTGTACATAGACCACGTTAACCTTTGTCCAGCTTTTAAACATCTAAATCTGGAGATTTTAATCAGCCGGAAGCTTAACAGTAATATACATTATGAGCTTTTTAAGGCATTGAATAACAGTCTTTTCCAACCCTTGTTCAGCCTTCTACTTTTATTTCAAAAATAATAATGGAAGACCGCTTCATATCTTATGCATTTATATGGAACTGCTTTAACTTGTTGCTGACTAATTGGATTAACATATTTATATTGTTAATATAAGTCTAAACATTACCTTTGCATTTCAGGATTCAAACCAGCAGTCGCTGATTCATAGGCGTCAATCATACCTACAGGGCCATTCAGGCATATGTGTGGTAAAAGGTATGATCATTAACTTGAAGCACGTCAAATTTAAGTTGAATAACAGCATCCGGAAGAGTTTCATACAGCAATGCAGAATTGTACCTAAGCAGTTAAACATTCCTCTCATTTTCAAGTGCACTTAACACAATGTGGACACAAGCAGGCATGGAAAATCATTTACATCCATTTCATGCATTTATATACATTCATTTTCCTCTATCTTTTTACATCGACAGAATTCCGTAAAATGATGTTTGTGGCTTTTGTAGAGTTTTATATTAGCTCAAATTGTTGTCAAAGACTCAAATCTATACCTCTCATGCATGACAAATTAGAGCGGACAGAACTTGTTATTATTTTTCAGAGAATGAACTTTACATTCACTGAAAAACAATGATGGGTTCTGTTTGCACTGGTTAATCATGCATAAGAGATGCAGATTTCAATTATTTGCAAAAGTTGTAGCTAATATTAAAACCTACAAGAGCTTCATACACCATTCTACGTAATTTGGTTGATGTAATAAGTTAGAGGAAAACAAATCGCGTGCTTGTGTCCAGGCATGGCAAATCACTTGTATTCATTTCGTGCATTCATGTACATTCACATGAATGCACGAAATGAATGTAACTGATTTACCATGCCTGGACACAAACACGCGATTTGTTTTGATGGTCATTTGGATGCTATTTAAGTGCCATAATTGAGTAATATTGTTGGTATGCGGTCTGAAAATTCAGTGCAATATAAAGTGGCGAACAGTCAAAACACAGAAGTACAAATGTTAAAACTTCCGACGTCCTCGCAGACCACTTCTACCTGTATCTATTCTTAAAAATCTTCTTTTCCTTGTCTTTCCTTGTGAATTTAGTAGAACCACAGACACATCTGTGGTAGAACTAAAATGCCGGACATGCAACGAGTGACACAGACACTGACGACATTTAACAAATCAAGCTATCAAAATATGTGTAACTCATTGCTGATTTGTGGAGTTGTGTTAAGCTTATATAAAGCTTGTTCAATCTTTGGATCAGGTTGGATTATTGGGATACAATTCGCTTCATGCACTACTAATCAACTATATATTCAGCCTGATTGTAGTGGATCTTGCCGAGTTTGGTGGCCAACGACTATACCGGCGAACGGAACAGAAGACAAATCGGTGGTCTGGGTGTAATAGACACTTTTCGGGCAGTCGATGAAAAAATGCGTGTGGTTTGCTTGATGTACTTTTCAATTCTGATTTTTATTTATTCTCTCTCCGTATATGTCGTGTTAGGTAAGTATTCGTGTGCGTGTTTCATATTTCATTTCAGCGTTCGTGTACCAAGGTAAGGCAAATACAAAGGTAAGGTAAGTATAACAGTTTTGTTGTAATAGAGTACAGTGGGCTCAACGGATTTACAAGCTAATTCAAATGTTCAACTGTGTTTAATTTCAAATGCAAAGAATTCTAATTACATGATCAAGTGAGTATCAAGATCCGCAACATCTCGGCCCCCGTTGAAGCGCAGCATTCAACCGACAGAAGATGAGGAAGGTTCATCGGTCAGCAGGGTTGAATCAGTCGACCCTGCTGCTGTGTTACCTGGGATGTCATCAATCGGTAGCAGACACAGCTCTGTTGTTGCACGACGACGAATTCCGGCTTGAGTGCGGACATCCACTACCCGTATTATGTTGTCCTTGTTTGGGTAGACTGCTACAACGCGTCCGACAGGCCAATGTTTGGGTGGAGCGTTGTCGGTCTTCAACACAACCATAGCACCGACCCCGAAGTCGGTAGGGATCTTCCTCCACTTAGCTGGACGCTGATGCAGCAGGCCGATGTACTCTTTAGACCAGCGCTTCCACAAGTCGTTCATGGCTCGCTGTGTCGTCTGGAAGTGGGAAAGTCGATTAAGGGGAATGCTTGAGTAGTCTGGCTCGGGAAGCCAGACGGCTGGTTCACCCAGCAGGAAATGTGCAGGTGTGAGCACGGAGAGGTTTTCAGGATGATTGGAAAGTGGAGTTAAAGGACGGGAATTCATGATGCTTTCCGCCTGAGCGACAGCCGTGCGAAAATCGTCAAAGTGGTAAGGTGATGAGCCGATGATCCTGACGAGATGGTGATTGAAGCTCTTCACCGCAGCTTCCCACAGCCCACCACAATGCGGTGCTCTAGGGGGAATAAACTGGAACTCGATACCTTTTTACAGGCACTCGTTAGCCCATTCGTTGGACTTCAGCTGCTGGACGAGTTGCTATCGCATCTCCTTTATCTCGCGAAACGCGCCGACGAACGAGGTGCTGTTGTCGCAGTGTATAACGCGAACGCGACCGACGCGACTCACAAAGCGCCTCAACGAATTGACGCACGCAGCAGCTGGCATCCCGGCGACGATGTCCAGCACAACGGCTTTGACGGCGAAGCACACGTACACTGCGACCTAGACTTTGACCGAAGCGCCCCTTCCCGCAAGTTGACGAACGAGAAACGGCCCGCAGTAATCCAGCCCCGTGTGTTCGAAAACTTTAGATAGTGTAATGCGCGCAGCAGGTAATGGCGCCATATATTGATTGCTTGCTTTCGGACGACAACGGAAACACGTCACGCAACGATGGACTGTCCTTCGAGCGAGGTCTCTACCACGGATCGGTCAGAAACGCTGCTTGATGGTTGCGAGCAGTTGTGTTGGTCCAGCAAGCAGAGTTTGATGATGAATTGATCTGGCAATCAACTTTGAGAGATGATGATCGGCAGGTAACAGGATCGGAAAGCGACTGTCGAAGGTGCCAGGTGATTGCGCTAGGCGGCCGTTCAAACGAAGAAGCCCTGCGTCATCGATCCACACGTCAATGTCCTTGAGCGGAGACTTGAAGTCTGCTTTTCGCAGAGCCAGAGACTCTTGGACGTGGTTATGTAAATATCGCAATTCCTGATGGAAGGTTGCTCCTTGTGCAACTCGAATGAAAGATTTGAGGGCATTGTTGTACTCGACCGGTGTGATTCGCCCGAAAGTTCGAGCATGGCTCGGCAATTGGCAGTTCTTCGCGAAACAAAGGCAGTACGAAGCAACCTTAAGAAGATGAGACAGTTGCGAAAAGTCCTGGATGAGCGAATCGTCGAACATGACAAAAAAGAGTGCGACCATCGGCCGCTGCTCGACAATTTGTTGTTGGATGTCGGTCGAGGTTAATGGTACTATTGGATCTGGCCAGGCTTCTGGTCCTGAGAGCAGGTATGGTGGCCCATGCCACCAAAGTGCATCATCGCTGATGTCTTCGGGATGAACTCCGCGAGAAATTCGATCGGAAGGGTTTTGCAGCGTTGAAACGTGCCGCCATTGAGAGCCTTCTGTGGTTTTGAGGACCTCTGCTATTCGATTGGATACGAATATTTTCCACGCGGACGGCGGGGAATTAATCCAGTGCAAAACGATCGTCGAGTCCGACCAGAAGGTGATTTTGGCGTTAAACTTAGTGGTTTTACGGATGCTGTCAGCCAACTGACTTCCCAGAACAGCTGCACAGAGTTCCAAGCGTGGCGTGGAATAGCCACTGATTGGAGCGACCCGGGATTTCGCTATGAGGAGATTGCTTGTTCGCGTGGCAGTCGGCCCTTGCGATACTACGTAGATACATGCTCCGTATCCTTTCGAAGAAGCGTCGACACAGCAGTGCAGCTCGTACCTTACTGCATCATCTCTGAATATCCATCGTGGTATACGAAGATCTCGGATGACACCAACCGATTCTCGAAAGGACAGCCACCAAGATTGAAGAGTCTCCGGAAGTCCATCGCCCCAATTCAGTTGCTCCTGCCATAGCCACTGAACGAACATCTTCGCACTGGCGACTACTGGACCGATGAGACCCAAAGGTTCGAAAAGCTGCGACATCTCCGACAGGACAATGCGTTTTGTAACTCGTTGTAGTGTGGAAGATCAGGAACTTTGAACGCAAAATCGTCGTTTTCCGGGGACCATAAGAGACCAAGTGTTTTGATGGATGAGGTGCGATCAAGCTCTAGAGACGGTTGATTCTCCTTGAGGTCGTCTGGAAAGTGTTCAAGGATACTAGGATGGTTCGCGCTCCAATTGCGCAGATTGAAACCACCTCTCTTTAGGAGGCCGTCCAGTTGGGTGCTTGTGTCGACTAGTGTTTCGATGCTGTCGGCTCCGGTCAAGACATCGTCAACATAAAAGTCCTTCTTGACAATGGAGGCAGCCAGTGGAAAGTCATGCCCTTCATCGTCAGCTAACTGATTTACGACCCGGGTTGCCAGATATGGAGCACAAGATGTGCCGTAGGTGACGGTGTTCAAACAGTAGGTTTTCAGTGGCTCTGACTCCTTTCTGCGCCAAGCAACTTGCTGTAGTAGTCGATCGTCCGGATGAACCAAAGCCTGACGATACATTTTCTCCACGTCTGCTTTCATGACAAATCGGTGGAAACGAGAGTTGATGACGATGCACAACATTGAAGGCTGAACTGTTGGTCCTGTTAACAGAAGGTCGTTCAAGGAGAGCTGATTGCTGCTTTTGGCCGAGCCATCGAACACGACTCTTATCTTGGTTGTAGACGAATCGGGACCCGGGTTTCGGCACCAAATAATGTAGTGGATCTTGCCGAGTTTGGTGGCCAACGACTATACCGGCGAACGGAACAGAAGACAAATCGGTGGTCTGGGTGTAATAGACACTTTTCGGGCAGTCGATGAAAAAATGCGTCTGGTTTGCTTGATGTACTTTTCAATTCTGATTTTCATTTATTCTCTCTCCGTATATGTCGTGTTAGGTAAGTATTCGTGTGCGTAAGGTAAGTACAACAGTTTTGTTGTAATAGAGTACAGTGGGCTCAACGGATTTACAAGCTAATTCAAATGTTCAACTGTGTTTAATTTCAAATGCAAAGAATTCTAATTACATGATCAAGTGAGTATCAAGATCCGCAACACTGATGTTAATCAGTTTTGTACACCTTAAATCAACCAATAATCTTCTGTTCTCAATAAGCTTCTGTTCTTAATGTTCAGCTTGTATTGTTACTTGGGTATTACTTTAAAAAACTAATCCTAGTTGTATCTCTTTTTCGTTTGCATGTAACACTGTTTGATATTACTAACCGCTTTGAGCCTTCATTCCGGGTGATGAGCGAATCTGAAGAAGAAGAAGATTACCATGAACTCATTCACGGAACGAGTGTATTGTTGATGGACCTGGACCTGGATTCAAGATTGGTTTCTGGAATGATAAGTATCACGAGTAATCGTGCTCGCCTTTTGGTCACTACATTTTGTTTCAGGAAGTGTTTCGGATGTTTACTGGCACAAAAAGACTTATATCCTTCTCTTGAAAGGATGTTACGCACGTTGGAAATGTTGGAATCGTATTTCTTTGCCAAAAACACCTGGGTTACTTTTCACGTACCTCAACACCTTGGTCCTCAGCTCTTTGTCCCTAGTGCAACTTTTATGATAGATGCGCTGTGCTCTATCCACACTCAGAATATCCTTGTAACGTTTGATTACAAGACTCACCGATGACTGTGGGAATTTTAACACTTTTGATATTTTTGAGGCAGACCACGAGGGGTCTCTAGATGTTTGTGCACAATTAATTTTCTTTTCTCAAGTTCCATGATCTGTAATTTCGGAATGGTCGATAAATCGAGAAAAACTTTTCACCAATTTCTTCGTCAATGAAACATCAACAAATGCCTGGCAAACGTTTTTTGTTCCAACCACCCACGGTGTATTAAACCGTGCGTCCAGATTTACTTTGAATCGAGCTTTATATACATTGAAATACATATATAGAAGGGAAGGGACGGTCCAACAGGGCACCCGATTGAAGCGATTTGGACGGGGAGAGTGGGAATGCTAACTCCCTGTTGATAACACTTCGTGGATAAAGGGCGGGCTCTTCTCCCGACTCATTGGGGCATCTTCCTGTTTGGGGGCTTGTCTTTTTTAACCAATTGGCTGATCAAGTTGCTGGAAGGAGATTCTTTATTGTTCCGTAGATGCGTAAAGGCGACTTTGCCTATCGATCTACCCACCCTAGTAGCACGCTTGTCACAAATCAATTGTAGAAACTTATTTACGACTTATTTCACTCATAAACAATTTGCTGTAACTTATTGTGATAAAAGTGTGCTACTCGGGCAATCCGTTTTTGGCCCTTCATACAGCGACATGTTGAGGACAATCAGAGGTTATAAGGCTTGATGATGAGAACCCACTACTGTCGGACACTGTTTCCGTGCTACAATGGGTGGTAAATCACTATCATCATCATCTATCATCGATCTGGATCACACCTATAAGTTATCTCTTAAAGTAGACGTAATATTTAATTATAATTTAAAGGTCCCGGTTTACCGACCATTCAGTATTGGGTGCATTACGGTAATTCAGCATTATGAAGAAAATATCCTCCAAGATCGATGTTTTACTAAAGATCGCCCAATGCTAGTGTAGACAACCGAAGCACGATTGAACCGGTTTGAAAGTAATTCCTGTACAATGGGACGCTCTGTATCCGGGGGATCTCCAGCTTTCACCTGCCGTCTCACGTCTCACCAAATACGTGGTTTGAGTTCATGCCACCTTCGGTTGGTGAAACGCGTCCGCTCAGCGATGCTCGGGCGTCGTTGATCAACCATCATAGGTCGGTTGCTCGCTGTTGTGGAAGGTCAACATTTCTAAAGCCTGAAGAAGCAGGAGATCAAACGGTAAGGATAGTCTCTCACAAAAGTTTTCTCTGAAATTTGAGAACGAAATAATCATTTCGATTATTAAAAAAAAATCTTGGAAATGAAATCTCAAACATCGGTATTCAGAAGAACCTTATCTGTATTCCGGGACAAAGTTTGAATTTGTTTTACAAATACTGATAAATCGGTGTATCTGACAACACTGACGAGGGCATTCTGAAATTCTGGACATATACAGAAGCGGAATTACTGAAGGAATTCTCGCGTAGCTTGTCAAGTTACATTTGCCAAAAATCGAGCTAATTGATAAAAGCGATACTCATACTCATGCTAGAGATGGGCGATCCGCTCCCGAGCTGTTCGATAGACCCGATTCTCTAAAGTGAGCTGATGACCCGTGGTTCATTTTTTAGGAACCGCATCTCATCAGCTCACAGATATCACAAGTCTAATAACTCATAGTGGAACTTTTCAAAAAAGGACTCATTACTCCACTTACGGATTGAACAGTCACCGCGTAATACAACATGTGCCTACTGATCGACAGTACCAACAGTAAAAGCAAACTTCCAAGCGGCTGTTTGGGAGAGAGAGAAATATTTACATGCGCTACACGATCTTAATTTTCTACTGGTATTATCGTAGATGTTATTCCTCCAGCATATTGGCTCTCACCTCTCCTCCCATCATTCTTTGGGAGAGCGGAAGATCCGCACAAAAGCAAATAACCGAAAAGCAAAATTCAGCTCTCCAGTTTACTTATCAACTCAGCTCCGGATCCGAATCATCGACTCGAATGATTCACTGGGAGCTGTTTTGGATGACAACTCTCGGACCCGTCCAGTTCTTCGGATCTTTTTTTCTCTCTCTCGATTTTTCACGATTCAGCTCCGGATCCGGATCCGGATCTGAGCTGATGATCTGGAGCTGATGCCGAGGATAGTGAAAGAAATTCTGCTTGAGAATTAAAGCTGGGCTTAGACATGGCAAGTCAATTGATCAACTCAGTTGAATTCAACTGACTTGAACGCGAATTGAACGTGTAAACCATGCCATTCAACTGACTTGATCAACTCACTTGAATTGAAAAAAGTTGAACTAGGCTCAACTTTTCAAGCCAATTGAATTCAACTGAGTTGATCATTTGACTTTCCTAGTCTAAATCCAGCTTAACATCAGAAATAAAATTTTAATGTAGACTGGATTGCATAGCTTGAGAAAAGGGTGTAGCTCTCTCGCATACATTTTTTGTTTACTGCTTTGTTGTTGGCATATTTGGCTTGCATTTTGGTTTACGCGATGGTTGATCAGCTGTTGCGTTAGTAGCGTTTTCCATTGAAAATTAAAGCCATGTTGTAAGGTACGGATTTATTGGTTTAGACTACTTTTACGAGTTTATGCAGTTTTGTGTCATAATTTCTATAATTTCAATGTGAGCTGAAGAGCTGTTCAAAACAATCGACTCCCTCTAGTGTGCTGAATGGGTTTTATCCACTCAACCAGATGAGCTGTTTTACCCACCTCTAACTCATGCTCACAACCGATTGACCGTCTTTCATTGCATGCGATGTTAAAACACGCAATCAAACTTACTCTCATTTATTTAAGATAATCTTAGGTAAATATTGGTTCAATGTAAAATTAGGAATGCTGGGTGCTTGAATGTAACTTCGGACCAGTGTTGGCAAAATAATAAATCAAATGATATTCTTCCGCTCTCACACGCCGTCAATATCACACTTGATATACATAGTTTTCTCAGAAAGAGAAAGTTTAGTTTTCTACCTCTCTTTACTCTTCACCGATGGCAGACACGAAGCTACTGCTGCGGCAGTTTCGGGTCTCGTTTGGATGTAAAGTAAAAATCATCTAATCTAATCTAATCGAACACCAGCACAGCCAGTTGTTGAAAGCATCCTGGAAAATAATATACATAGGGGAAATGGCTCTAATGTTGGCCTATGGATCTAAGATTGGGCCCATCGCTAAAAATCTGCTATTTATCAATTGTATCTAGATGAACGTGTCCTTGGGACGGTACTAATGGATATTTTTGGTTGCTATTGAAAATTTAGTCGATTGCTAAATTTATGTATGGGTCCATATTAGGGACACTTAGGTCGAC